AATAATAATAATAAATATAAAATTTTCAAATAAATTATTTACAAGTTAGTTAAAAATAAGTATAGTTTAAAAATATTTTAAATCAAAAACTTAATTCAATTTGATTCAAACGCAATTTTTTATATCTTTCTTATCGTATACTTAAATTTATTATAATATTGGTTACAACTTAGTAAAAAAATTATTATTTCAATGATAAATACTTATAATATTGTTTTTATAAAATATAATTGTTTAATATTTATATTATATTATTTGGCACAAATCAAAAGTTTAAAACTCCCACTACAACTATATAGTTTTTTTTATTTAAATGTAATTATGATTTCAAATTTAATGTAATTTGTTTTTATATTTTCCACTACATTCAAAAGTTTTTTAAACTTATGGTTATTAATGTGCAATGATTTTTTATTTTTCCATTTATTTATTATACACATTGTAGCTATATTAGTAGTATGTACGTAAGCTTTGATTAAAAAATCATATGTTTGAAAATATTTGTGATTCAAAATGAAAGAGTTGAAAAAAATAAGTTTTGTCGTATCAATGGTTATTTCAACACAAATTTTTTATAACAATGTTTCTATATATCAAATGTATGTTGATTTGTAATTATAAGTGTTTAATAAGTTTTGTTTGATGTAAATGTGATAATGTTGTAGTGTTTTAATTTTATTAAAAGCTATAGTGTTTTCCATACTATTTGTTATTTGTTTTATATACAAACCGACATACGTTTTATATATAATTTCCACAACGTAAAATGTTCTATAAAATCATCAAAAGTTGTAGTATTTATTTTTTCATACTACTTTGTTTTTTTAAACATAGGAATCAATATGTGTTTGATATATAATTTACACAACATAAAACGGTCTATAAAATCATGAATTACTAGGGGAAATAACTAATGATATAAATTTATTAAAATTAATAAAACTAATATGTTAACAATAGAGTTTGTTTGCTATTGACATTGGTTTTACATGTATAAATATTAAATTCGAATTTATTAAATGTTATTATTTTAATTAAATAATTATATTCGCGCGCAACGCGCGAGGATTCGACTAGTCACAAATAAACATATACAAAAACTCAACACATAAAGATAAATATCCAGGAAATTCAGTGTGTAAAAGTTGAGTCGCTCCTAAGCATAGTCTGATCAACTATGTTTAGTCTTGACTAAACCAATACAACATCCGAATTGGGATAGACAAATGAAACATAAAAAACATAAATATATAAATACAATCCTAAACCATATAAAATATATCATAATATATCATAAATAATCAAAATACAAAATAAAACCCACAAATCTACTCCTCACTACCCCCCGACTCTGTCTCGCTCTCCTCGTCATCGTCATCGTCGTCATCGTTATCGGTGTCTCCAGGATGCGTGCATG